CAATTGAAGAAAAGGTTGTGGAACATCTTTGAAGAAAATGGCACGTCTTTTTCGTTTTCTCACAATGTAGTTGCTAAGTCCTGTATAAATCGTGCGCGGCTCGAATTTAAGGCATGGCATTGGTCGCTTTATCCACTCATCTGGCCTTCTCGACGATAGAAGGATGAGAAAATACGGCAAAAACTCAGATTATGTGTGCGTTCTGATTTTGTGAATTCTCTACGTGTGAATTGGGTCGGCAACGCCAGCATCACGCGTCGTCTACGTGCTCCCATGGGCCCGTGCTTCCTTATTCGGACGGCGTATTGAGAATACCACCACCGAAAGGCATCTCGCCCGGTACGTCATCAGATGTAAGTCCCTGACCCTGATATCCAAGAGGCGCTGAGACTTGGATCCCTGGGTAATTGGGGGCGGCCGTTGCTTCAGCCTCCCCAGCCCACTCCAAAGCACCAGTTTTCGGGTCAGCATAAGGCACTGAATCTTGAGTTTCATTGAGATTCATCTGAATGTAGACTTTGCCACTAAATTTCTTGTCAAAATTGAAGGAGGCAGTATTGTTGTCAATGGAAGTGTTCCAGTCGCGACGCATGACCATGCCACGGCGCAGGTGGACAGCAACAGTGGTGTGGAGGCCAAGGGCGAAAAGGAAGAGCCCCCAGAAGGCCGCGAAGAAAGCGCCAATACGCATTCTTATTGAATCTATAAAGTTGTGTGATCAGTATTTATTTAAAAAATACTGCACCGAACTCATAAATGATGCATGCTGAGGGAAGCAAAATAGTATCTACACACGATTTTTTAACGTCAATGGAATCATGTCGTCATCTTTGTTCGCCAAAAGAAACGGCTGAGGATGAATCATGAAGAAGAACCCATTTTTGGGGGGCTGCCGTTGTTTTAAATGAGTTTTTAACAAAACTAAAGGGAAAAATATATGTGGATATGATTAACATGTTTCTATTGATACCTATAAGAAGGGATCACTTATAGCCTACTATGCCGGAGATAACTCGGGATCTTCTGCGGAAAAGGGCAGAGCACAATGAAGGAATTCTGACCACTTTAGAAGAATTGGCGCTCCACCAAGAAGAACTTGAGGGAATCAATGATATTCTGGGTAAAACTTGCCGAGAAATAAAAATTTTATACTTACAAAATAATTTGCTCCCGCGCATCGAAAATTTGCACCATCTGAAGTGTCTGGAGTACCTAAATGTAGCTTTGAACAATATCAGCGTCGTAGAAGGTCTTGGATCGTGTGAATTCTTACGCAAATTAGATTTGACAGTCAATTTCATAGATTTCGACGCTCTAGAAGCTAGTATCACCCATTTGGCGAGCCTTCGGCACCTGCGAGACTTGTATTTTTTAGGCAACCCCGCGCAGACGCGTCCGTGGTTTGAGGATGAAGAAGTGAAATGCGAGGCTGTAGTGGACAAAATGTTAGATAAAAAGCAAGCTTTTACATATTACATCGCCCATCGTCTTCCGCAATTGCAATGCCTGGATGGACAAGAGATTACGCGTACCACACGGTTACTCGCGGCGCGGGTCTTTCCTACCCTGGAAACGCGACTACGAGTCTTGGCGACCCGGACTCGTTGCGAAAAGGAAGGAAAAGCCAAGAAAGCGATCAAGGACACGGAATCCTGTGCCAGCTCCGGTCCGGTCGAAAACGACGGCACAGACGGCAGTATGCCCACAAGCCACGACCCTGAGACACGACGGGCTATCTACTTGGAAATAGCCGCGCAGAAGAAAGAAAAACTCGAGCGGCAGAGGGCCGATGGCCCCAAAAAAAGGGACACCGCCCGCGAGCAAGCGGTCAAGCTGGCGCAGGTGCAAGCGGAGGAAGCAGGACAAGAAACCCGCCCTCCGTCCTCGGACCAGGGTCTAGACTCCTCCCTGCATGGGGACCAGGAGGCGAGACCGCGACAGAAGAATGAGGGGAAGTGGCCCTACACCCTGCTAGACCACGACGATAGAACGGCGACAGAGACTGCGTCTGCCGTTGTCGGTGCGGGGGAGCGCGACGCCGGGCAATGGCGGCATTGGGGCTGTGTCGTCCTCGACCTTGCCCTGCCCCGGCACCTGGATTCCTCCCTCCTCGACGTGGACGTGCATCCCTACCACATCAACGTCATCGCCAAGGGGAAACTCCTCCGCCTCCACCTCCCTGAGGAAGTGCGGGTCTCCCACAGCCGGGCGATCAGGAGCAAAACCACCGGGCACCTCCAAGTGGTCATGCCGAAGCTGCAGGCAAAGAAGACTCGTCAACACCGGACCTCCGCCCCTCCCTCGTCCTGTCATGTGCCCTCCCCCTCCGCCGCCTCTCACGAAGCACCGCTCCGTTCATCTTCCCCAGGATCACAGCAGGCGAGCGCTTCCACGACGTTGCTCGACGTGCGAAGGCAGAAGAGGAATGCCAGCGGCCCGCGCCTTTCTCTCATTGAGGAGATGCTGGCAGCGAGCAAAGACAACATCCAATCTCCTCCTCCCTCCTCTGTGCGTTCTTCTTCACTGCCTCCCAGTCCTGGGACGCTCCCTTCGGCCAGTCTCATCGAGTAGGGGGAAAATATGGCTTGGGAATAGAGGGAAAAGGAGGACGAGGGGGAGGAGAAGGCGGGGCGAGGAGAAGGGGAGACAGGTTCAGATTCTCCCGCCCAGGAGGTGTACGTAGGGGAGAAAAGTAAGCAGAAACGCATCAAAGGACCAGGGAGGTATGGGGAGGGAAAGGAAGGAGGGAAGAGGAAGGAGGGAGGCAGGAGGCGAGGAGGGCATGGCGAGAGTAGAGGTGAAGTTGCCAGAGGCAGGGAGACAGAAGGGAGGAGAGGGGGAGGGACAGGCCAATGTCCTTCCCTCGATGTGGTCAACTGACCAGGACACGCCATGAGCTCTCGAAACGCATCACTCCTATCCTTCTTCCCGTCAAGCACATTCCTTTCCCATAGTTTCTTCCTTTGTTTCTTTTCCTACCGCCTCCAACCCATCACCTCCCCGTCTTCCCAGCCTATATCTATCCATGAAGCCCTGCTGACATGCCTCGCCACCCTCTCGGCCTGCCCCCGCGAAGACCCCATGGACCCGAGGTCACAATATCTCCTAACTCCCTCCCTCCCTCCCTCCCTCCCTCCCAGATCCACCAGACAAGAGAATGCTTAGGCAACAAGGGAGGCGGCGGTAGAGGACTCGTACTTCCAGTTCGGTGTGAGTTTGCGCGTGGTTCGGTAGTAACGGGCCTAAAAAAGGGAGGAAGGGAGGGAAGGAGAAAGGGAGGGAGGGAGGGAGGGAGGGAGGA